TCCCCGACAAAGTGTGGTTCAACCACTTCAAGAGCCGGTACAACTTTACTTTTTCTGTGGGTGTTCCCGTGACCAATCGTCGGGTGCCTCTCTCCCTGGACCTCCGGGATATAGTCAGCTATTGTGGTCGGTATGAAAATAAAATTACCCTGGCCCACAAGAAGACAGAGGATGAACTGAGAACTGACTTTGTCCACCTACCGCTGGTGGACCAAAAACCCGAAGAATTGGAGCCTGAAGATGATGACGATTGTGTTGCCATCGAAGTACCGCAGGAACTCATAGAAATTAAGGATGACGAGGATGAGGACCCACCGCAGAAAGTAATTAAGCGAAAGAGGGAGGAAGATGATGATCCAGTGCCCTGCGGCCTGAAGATAAAAAAGGTCCAATCGCTTAGTGATGTATTGTCTGCGGATATGGAAATACCCCCCGCCCACAGTCCAGGTCATTATTCAGAGACCAGCGATGAGGCGCATCTGCCACGTTGCGTGGAAAGCTACAAGGATGCACTGCGTCTGCTGAAGCCCCTGGAGGAGTTTGCCCTGATGGAGGAGAACTATCGAGCCATCGGGCTGCTCACCCAGCTGGAAAAGATCTTTGAGAGCGGAGCAAAAAATAATGCCGAGAAGGACACCTCCATAGAATAGAAAACAAGAGAGAACGCTATAGTCGAGTGCCTCGACTATTAGATACCCGTTACTCAGCTAAACAACTTAATATAAATATGCCTTCTTGTATGTTTTTCGCCGCTCGAATTAGCACCTTGGCCAGCTGTTAAAAAGTCATCCGTTAGATGGCGCTACCGTGGTACTACGGGCCATGAAAGGCGGAAATGTAGGCGCTAGCCAGGTTTAAGCGTTTAATGGGTTTTTGGGCGTTAGAGTGGGCGTGGCAAACTTTTATTAGGCCAATCGATAGGTATTGACGAAATAAATAGATATCAATTAAAATTTTCATAATAGCATCAAAACTGTGGCCACTGCTTGTGGCTTGTGGGCGTCAGAGGGGCGTGGCACCATTTTTAAACAAACTTGCGCTGCGTAGGAACTCCTAAAACCTACATGCAAAATGCCAATCTTCTAGCTTTTATAGTTTCCGAGATCTCGGCGTTCATACGGACAGACAGACGGACAGAGGGGCATTGCTAGATCGACTCGGCTAGTTATCCTGAACAAGAATATATATACTTTATAGGGTCGGAAACGCTTCATTCTACCTGTTACATACTTTTGCACGAATACAATATACCCTTTTACTCTACGAGTAACGGGTATAACTACCAAATACATGTGCCTTTAGTTCTAAGATGTACATATGTTATTATGTTTAACTTGTGTAAATAAAATTAAATTCTCATTGATGAAATACAAAATGTGATTAAAAAACAAAAAAATATGTAAACACAATCTTGTGCGTGTTTTAAATTGACATTTTCAAGAGCTAGATATTTAAATTGGAGTATTTAGAGTTGATCGCCATTTAGAATTCCGTGCTCCGTGGAGAAAGGGATATTTATATATATAATGTTATCCTCTAGATGTGTGAAAACTTATAATGCGCTTTTCTCAAAATTATCTTTTGAATTCAGACTTTATTTTACAAACATATTACTATAATATATATCTGTAATAGTGAAGATTATCCATGGTTTATCCATGGTTTCTTTATTTTCTTGTGTTTTTTTTTAAAGTAAAAGCCAAGTCTTCGATAATCCAATGTAATTGACAATCCAATGCCAAATATCCTGTGAAGCCAGTTTCTTGCCTATTTGGGCGTTGTTCTCTGGGTCCTTGACCAGGTTTTATAATCACCTGGCATTTTTCCACTCGCCCCAGCGAGAAGCACAATCAGCGCCAAAACTTTACGTTCGTCCTCTAAAACTTTGCGCGTCCTGCCCGCCGAGAAATGTGGTATGAGATGGAACGAGTCCGAATGACCTGCAGCGAAGTTGGAGTTGGACGTGCGTGGAACAGAAGCTCCGGAAGTGGGCAGATGGAATGGCAGAGGGAATGGTGCCCTGTAGGTGCTACATCAATTCTAGATGGGTAGTACAGCCAGAGGTGGAGCGGCAAAGGCGGAGGATGAAAGGCGAGGAGCGGATGCCAGCAGCGTAGCATCCCGGCGAGGGACCTTGCGGTGCCAGGAGGTGGACACTCCTCACAATCACACTCACAGATTGTTAAGCATATACGTGCACTGAAAACAATGGTATCACATTTTGTACAATATCCTACAATGTAAGGCATACTGACTTTGAAGCCTTTAAAGCACATAAACATTTTATCGTTGGAATATGTTGCAACTTTTATAACTGGAAACAAAATGTTTGCCACTTTAATTTGTACTTGGGTATATAAAAAAAACAAACGGACTCAAATTGGTTGGATTAATATTGTGAACTTATTATAAACCAAATGAAAATATATTTCATATTTTTAGTGAAATGTAATGACGTTGTTGTAACTATAATTTGCAATTTATGTATATATTTTAATATAATTTAAGTTTTTCCACCATTTTTGATATTCTGAAATGTAAATGATTAGCCAATCTCTATTTGAGAATAGGTATTTTTAGAGTTTTTGCAATGTAATTAAAGTCTTGGGACTATCCCCTGTTCTCCCCCTCTGGCATTTATTATATGATATAAAGTCACATATTTTGCAGTGTGGATTGAGGGCGCTACGGTTACACAACCGGGTCTAAAGAGCGTTGGAAACGCCACATTGCCAACGTCGTTCTCGATTGCCGCAAAGTTTCGCCGTACGATGGCAACCCTCCTGGGCAGCAGAAAATGAAGCTGAAGCGACGGGAGCAGGAGCTTCAGGACTTTCGTTTCAAGGATTTCCGACCGACGTCGTCCGACTCGACTGACGGCTTGACTATAGCACTCGCAGAAGCGGAAAACCTACGAGTGTGTAGGGTTAGGTGCGCGGGGGGCTGCCCCGATAAAGGTGGAAGAAGCAACATCAATGCAAACACAACAACTTTGGCTCAGGTTACTGCCACACGGCTGCGCCCCAAAACAAAATTGAAACCCCAGCGCGTTAAGAGCTCTGACATAAAACCCTGAAAGCGGAATTGCCGCTGAGGGATATACGACGAGCAAAAGGACAGACTATATGTACCTCTACAGCTCCCTCAACCTCATCCTCAATCGCACCGTCGCCGCTTCTTCATTTTCCCTCGAGTTGTTGCTGGGGTTCGGTATATATAGAACGGTATAGTACATATGCCAATCGCAGGTTGGAGAGGATGTATAGCCTGCCGAAGGGCATGTAAAAACGTACAATTGGGAACAGTTGATGTGGGCTTTGTCGCGCAGGAGCTTTATGATGCTACGCAACTGTTTGTGATCGCTGGAATTACAGAAATATATTACAGGGGGGGAATTGTTGAAGGGATTTTGGGGTGAATCGCGATAAATGAAAAGTATGTTAATATCCCATTTATACCCTTGCAAGGGTGTTGTTATTATGCAATTTTAAAAAGATGTTGAATCGAAATCTTACAATTAGTAGGATAATAAATTACGCTTTACTTTAATTTTTAACAAAAGTCAATGCTTATTATCCTTTTAATAATCTTATATTTAATATATTCCAAGCAGACGAAAGAGTATTTTAATGTTTAATAATGACTTCCATCCCTCTAATAAACTTATATTTTAAGAGCCCTTTCCAATTTAATTGCATATTGCATTAAATTGGTAAACGCTTTTATTTCACAGTCTTTATAAGGAATAATCGTATGGCTTGGTATTTGATTAAGACTATAAACGCTGGCGCTCTGGGTCCTATTCTATTTATAGCTTTTATATAGCGCTTCTGGGTGTAACTTTTTTTATTGTGTCAGAATCAGCGAGTCCCAGTGGTTCCAGTCACTTTATTCACCCACAAGGGTGGGTATCGAGTATGGCGTGACTAACGGCCATGCCATGTTCCCAAAAGTTTATTAAGGTAATTTTATCTTTTATATATACAAAAGTTTTTCATTGTTGAAACATAGAGAGCTTTTTCATGATTATTTTTCCAAGCAATTTATTAAATTTTGAGGTCTGCAGATTTTTAGTCTGAAAATATATATAGGGGTAGTTCTAGAATTTATTTATTATTCTTTTTCGTAATAAAAAGCTTGTGTAGAAGAGTTGTACAACTAAAAGTCCCAAAGAGTTGGTGGTTTACCTTGAATTTTTTTAAAAACAAAAATTCCCAAAGAGTTTGTAGTTTACCTTGACTTTATTTTTTAAATCGGGGAAGCCTGTCCACCAGATTGAAGAGTTGCTCAGCTCGATTAGTCACCTTCAAGAGATCATTAAATATATCGGGGAAGTTTCCCTGGGAAGAACAAAAAGTCAACCTTTCAGATACCCATTTCATCATCCCCCTCTATCCATCAGCATCCTGTAAATGTATTCCATTTCATTTATTTACTTTGGCTGGCGGTTAGTTGCATATATAATATTGATTCTTTCATCATACCAGACTCACCCATTCGACCCCTTTAATCACCAAACATACATACGATGCCATAATCGTTTCCATTGTATGCCAAATATGAATGGCTCGCCAAAACTGTAGACCCCGGCTCAAGAGCGACTCTACGAATACCCGTTCATCTAGAGTGCAGATATATATACTCGTATATGTACATTCCGAGCGGAAAACGTGAGAACCGACTGGATCTGATGACTATGGTGGCGATGGCGAAACAAGTCTGGTTCTCTGAATCTGAGTCTCTGGTTCTGCTATTTAGCTTTATACCCCGTACTTCTTATTTGGGTTGTCTGTTCGGCATAAGCCTTTTGGGCTTCTCGAAGCTGCAGGCAGTGCCTCAATTCCATTCCGCAGACGATGACGATGACGATGACGATGCTGATGGCCCTTGAGCTGAGTCTCTGGAGGCTCTGACGATAATGACGATGTGCCCTCAGCTTCCATTTCGGTTCCCGGCTTTCTGTCATGCGCCGAGTTCCAGTGTTTCGAGTTGGTTTTTTGTACTCGCACTTCGTCTTCCTCGTTCTGGCAGGCACACTGCTGTCGATAGATGCTAATCTATCTTTATTGTGCAAAAGATGACGAGAGGATTCGAATGAGGGTACCACCAAGACCCTCAATCCTGTCCCGCTTTCCCTCCAAACCTCCGAAATATCCTACTACTTTCGGAAGGCCGCTATAAATACAAATCCAATCTTCTTGGCCAACGACCTGTATTGGACTTCATTTGGGTTCGATTTTAGTATAAATAAATCGATTTGTTCGCTTTTTGAAATGAAAGTAAATCGTACAGTTTTTGCGCATGTTTGCCTTGCTAGAGATGACTAGTCCGAGGTATTCCCAACGGAATGTGGTGGTGTGCAGACTTTTATATATAATCAGTGTTTACTTAGTATTCGAAATATAATAAGAAACATTTTGACAACATCTCTTAAAAATATTTTTCATATAAAGTTAGATATGAATTTGTTTTTTAAATATTTGTATATTTATAGAGATCGCTAATCGAAGTATACAAAATTTGTAAAGTTAATAAACAATAAATATATTGGTATCTTGTATTAAATTTTTCAAAAAAATAGTATTTTTTTCATGCAGATCGATTTAGGTAAGCAACATATATTTTTCATCATACAAAAATTACTGCAACACTATAACCAAGGATATCCCTTACACAATAGTTATCAATGCAATCAACTACAGAATTATCTAATTCTAACTTATCAGTAAATTCTAACTCAACAAATAAAAGGTTTTTAATAAATGTAATTAAATGAGTTGATCGCACACTTAGATTTTAAGATACCCTGTCCCGTACTGATTTTTCCAAAAGGCAGTTGCCACCACTACAGTGCAAATGGAACAATATTACACCACCGAGTAGTTCAGGGCATAACACGAGATGTAAAACCCCGATATGGAAATGGCAATAAACTCGTAGTAGCGACAGCAATGAGTTCACATCGCACATGGACAGCGCGGGGGATTGGAATAGGAATCGGAATCGGAATCGGGATTGGGATATCTAACAGCGGCGTCGACTGTGCTAACAAGGGGGCAGTGGCTCGGAATAGAGAATCGGGCGGGCCAGGGAAAACTGGAGGGCAACTGGAGTGGCACAAGGCACAAAGGAAATTACTAGGAAAAATTCAGGTCCCTATGGTGCTTTTGGGTGCGACAGTCGTCGCACAGATACTCACACATACCACACAGCTATATAGGGACAGATAATCAGGGAAACCAACTGACTGAACGACCGACGGACGCTGCAGGCGGACATCACATATAGATTATAGCGCGCACAATGGGGAAACGGGCAAAGATGCAGAGATACCAGTGGAGATACTCGCACATACCTTCAGCATTGGTCGAGGGACCAAAAACGGAACACTGAGACCGAAACCGAAACCGAACCTCAAACTGGCATCGCAATGGAATCCAGCGAATAACAGAGGCCAAGGCCCGGGACCTAATCAAAAAAGGTAATGGAAAAATACTATCTCGGGTCGTGGCAACGATTTCACAATGCTCACTCGGTCTCGGGGGAAGAAGTGGGGGAGGGAATGCGATGCTAGGTTCAATATAATACATAACCATAATAAATTCCATGGCTAAATCCCCGCATCTGGCTCTCCAGAAAAAGGTCATAATAGATGAGCTTAGTCGGGCTCTGGGCGATGGGTGGACCTCCCACTCACAGTGGAGCATTACCGCTTGAAACATTAGCTTTCTCAATGGGACATTTATGTCATTAAATCTGTAGATTCAAAAACTTTTTTTTTTGTTTTTTTATTTGTGAACTAAAAATACAATTTTTTTTATATTTTTTCAAAAAAAATTTATAGACTTAAATGACGCTGACTGATATTGATGCAAATAAAAGGATTCTCACTTATTGTTAAAATTGTTGTGGTGGAAGTACCACATCAACTACTGTACAACAACATTTTAAAAGTATTAAATTAAAAAAAAAATGTTCTTTCATATTTTTTGCCCAAAATATTTTAATGAGGCTGCATTTCGTTTGAATAATTCGATTCAAGAATCGTTGAAGTTGATGTTAAGGAGTCCCAGCTGTACAAGCTTAATCATGAAACCCTATTACCACTCAATTTTCCTCAAGTTAAAGAACATTCGGCTTAGTGAAATGCGATTTATAGATGTTGGACTGTTTATATGTTTCTGTGCGAGTCCAAATGTGTGTGCTTGAGGGTGTGTGCTTGTAGGGTTCCTGGCTCATCGCAATCACTTCGGATTCGAATTCGGAGTCATGAAATGGCAAAAGGAAAGGTCATTTTCTTCGATGCTCCAGCTCGTTTCTAAAGGTTGCCAAGGGCTTTTACCCCCTGCGACTGCCACCGCCGCCGCAAAAAAGCATTTGTGGAAAAGTTTCCTTGGCTGGTCAGTGGCGGATAGCTGCTGGAATATAATATAATAGAGTCGAGTCATCGTCAAGCATCCGAGCATCCGAGAAAACCCGGAGTCCCAAAGCGCACAGGCCACCCAGCCCAGAACCACCCACCCATCAGCACCACCCGCCGCAGAGGTTGATGCTGTGGTTTTATACCTTTTCCAATACTTTTGCTTTTATATATACACATACCTAATATATACTAGCTGGGATATATGCTACGTGTGCGAATTCCCACCACCGAAAAACAATCTCGCATTGAGGCAAATCGAAGTGGAAGGGAACCGACCAAAAAATACGAACCCTAACTGAGCGTTATCCATTTGTATCTTCAACTTGTATCAAGACTAATCCATCAAAACGATTTCGACCTCTGCCGGCGTCGCTGCCGACGTCCAAGTTATTTGGTCCCAATCTCAAACCCAATCGCCTACCAAACCGGGCAGCGATACTTCAAGTTACAGCTATATATACAAGATACACATGGCCACGGTAAATCAGCTCCCCAGCATCTCTAAGATATGTGTGTGTTTTGGCTTGGAATGGATTTTCTGTACGTGCGCTTATATATACATTATAGTTGCCCTGGCACTTTGCTAGCTGATGAGTGTCTACAATGCCTATAGTGAATGTCCCAAGAACCCGAATGCGAACCCGATCCAAGCATCTCAGCATCACGACTCGCTTATATGGAGTATCCATAAGAAAACTTGTTTAAATTGGCCCGATGACAAACGAAAATTAAAACTTACAAGCCGGGCCATTCGAGTGAACCAAAAGGCAGGGAAACTCAAGGAAGATCGTTTTCGTGTAAGGGTCCGACTTACCTGAACGGCGTATAAACATTTGGACGATTATTCCAATAAATATTTAACATACAATTTTTAAAATTTTAAATAGTTCAAAAATATTCCGACTTAAATAATGTTTGTGAAAAATATAAAGATACATTTATAAAGATCACTTTTAACGATTTCTAAAAACTATAGTGTTCCCAAACATGGTTCACCCCAATAGCGATTTTAAAATCGAAAGAGTCAATAATAATACCCAAAAATAGATATAATTACCAGTCACAAGCACTGGGTATCATACATATATAAAATATATAGATATACCTGACTCATGCAGATAGATACCGGAATTCCAAGCGAATTTCGTCAGACCCACAACCAAAACCACTCACCCACCTCAAAAGACAGATTCAGATACACACAAACATGGCGAGATGGATGATATAGGAGTGGGAGGGAGGCAGTTTCCATGGCGGGCTCTACGTAAGCCCGAAAACCCGAAAAACCCATCAGAGAGCTCTATGTACAAGCGCCCCAAACTGAAGCCGTAAAAGTAAAACGCACCCCAAAGGTAGGACGAGACGAGATGACAGGTTGGGCTTCGTATTCGTATTCGTATTCGGAAGTCGGATTCTGGTTCGGTTTTCGGGTTCGGTGGGGATTTAGAGTTCGGTTCTTCGGGCATATATCGCCGACGGCTGACAGACGAGACGCCCGACAACTGACACCACCCCCGCTTCTGTCTGTCTGTCTGTCTGTCTATTCGGCGGTTCCACGTTCAGTCGCCCGTTCAGTTCTTGCTACTTTTGTTGTCGCTCTCACTGTTTGTTTTTCACGTCTTACTCCGACGTCTGCGTCGACTGCGGCGCCCTCTAATAGAGTAGAGCTGAGGGCCTGGCTATTTTCTGGCGATATTCATTTTTCGAAAAGTTTTTATACCCAGTAGTCACTTAGTAAAAAAATATTAGAAGCAAATCCTTTGCTTTCTTATTTCTATTCAAACACAAAATTTCATATTGATTGGGAAAGTTTTTTGTTAACCTATTAAATTGTACCCTTAGTTGCTCGCCAAAAAGTATGCTACGGTTTTTTTTTGGCAGGACCTACAATGATTCAGCCCAAGTAAAGGGTTTTCTAAATCACGCTGTTAACCTAAAATTCTAAAAATTCTCTAATATTTTATAATGCTATTTATAACACAGAGTATAAATTTTAAAAATAGGAATTCCGAGTGGTAAGGTTTCAGCAGTTTGACATCATTGCAAATACTTTCTTAGACTGCTCAATTAAATGGTGAAGGTATTAAGTATCATAGGAATAGGACTGTAGGTCTCTCTACTGAACGGACACCTTAGCTTGCGGACAAATCGAGGTATATTATAGCTTGTTAAAGGTATTTTTAATACAGTTCATATTCGCTTGCGATTCAGCTATTTCCGTAGCATCTTTGGCATCCCAGGTCGAGAGGTTCTTGGCATCCAGCCGTCCTTGCCGTCGTTTCTTCGCTTCTTCAGCTTCTGCTGCTGCGCTGCCGGCGCCTCTGCCGCATCGCTGCCACTGCCTTAGGTTTTTGGTTTGGCATGGCTTGTTTGGGATTAAATATTTCCTATAGATGGGAAAAACGAGTCGGTCGGGGTCGTTCGTCGAGTCGTGGCTGTTAGCCGTAGCTGTAGCTGTAGCTGTAGCGATGATGATGTCGCTAGTTTCGTACACTCTGTGCTGAACGTTCGTTGGCGGCGGTTCACACATCGCGTTCCGCAGGTTTTTTCCCTTGATTCCCGAGTGGTTCGAAATATCGTATATATATCGCGGCCATACCCTACTCATAGAGGCCTGGATTTTTAGACCGGTGCATGTGGATATATCGGCGAGCACGCTTGTTTTTCGGTGACACTGGATGTGAGTAGTCCCACTCGGCGGATGGGTGATAATACGCCATGTGAATGGGATGTAAACAAACGGGGTCTTGAGATTCGGTCGCCGTCGCTGCCGACGCCTTTGTTGTTATTGTTGCGGTGTGTTTGTGTGTGCTTGCAATTAAAAAAGCCGCATTTGCATGTGGGTTTGAGTGTGTGGGTGTGCTTTTAAAAAATCCCCGCTTTTGTTTTTATTTGAGTTCCTTAGACCGCGCGGCGGCTGCGAAGTCAACGGCGGCAGAGCGGTTTGTTTTGGTTTAGCATTTGTTTGATTTTACGCGAGTTTATTTATTCTGATGTTTGGCGAGCGAGCTTGTGTTTGTGTGCTTGTGGGTGTGATAAGGGTACATTGCCCGTTGATTTGGCGCCAATTGAATAAACGTGCTCCTCGGGGTGAGAGTCCTTGAAACGGACAAGGACAATTCGAAATTTAAGTGGGTGTGTCAGTGGGGCGGAAATGGGTGTTTTGGGATTTAATGGGGCATGACTAATATGTAAAGCTGCTTACCGAAAACCACTTTATTAAATTGAAGTAGTCCTATTTATGATAAAGTGCCAATATCAATGATGGTTTGATTCTTTGTTTACTTCAGATGCCTATTATAAACATGTTGATATCTAAAAGTACAAAAGTGGTTCATTATTCAAACAGTTTGAATTGTGCATAGCTATTAACTGAAGGCCAGCTTATTAGAATTTATTTGTCTCAAATATTATAATACTATGTCAATACTGATGTGTTTATTAGAATCGATTCAGTAACTCGAAGATTTTTTTGTAGTCAATTTTGAAATTAAATTCTATTTCAAAATGTTCACTTTAATAAGTTTTCATCGACTACAAACATTTTATGTATTTAACAAATAGACCAAAATCAATCTCTCTCAGTCGGCAGCAAAACATCGAACAAAATCTTTTATAAAACCCATATCTCACATTAATGACCTCATAGACATAAAACCGAGATACAAACACACATAATATATGTACCCAGCATAGACATAGTCTGTTTCTTTATTCCCATGAGTATATCTTCCCCCTCAAATCTGAACAAACTTACAAACACAGCGACAGAGACAGACCGAAATTCGAATCATGGCATGCCATGCTATATAACATCCATTTATGCGCTGCTGCTAAACCAGCCCAAAAAGGTCCGACCAAACCACCTTGAGATATAAGATAAATAAGTAAACTCATGCCAGAGCCCGAGCCCAAGAAAGACGAAAACCAATCGCAAAATTACCTGACATCGTGAACCGAGTGAAACCCAAAACTACCAGCTTAATCCCCAGTGCGGCGGGTACGGCATGGGTATGGGCATGGGTATGGGAATCCGGGACGGGGGAATACTTATACTTGCTTATATATAGGGTATAGCATAGAGTATGGACAAAAGGGCGCAAGGCAGAAGGTAGGTAGAACGTATAAACGAACCGGGCCAAAAAACCGAACCGAAAACTTCCTAGGCGAACAATGGCTGGAGATACTGCGATACAGAGATACAAAAGATATGTGGCCAACAAAGGGAACCAGGGTTCGGTTCGGTTTGGAAACTGCAAATGGGATTGGGACTTTGACTGAGACTGAGACTGGGACCCAGACCGGGGCATCATCTTGATGGCTCCGATGATAATGACGCTGCACGAAATTTCACGAAGAACCCAGGAGCTAAGGCAGCCCAGTCGTCGACATAGGCGGCCATTAGGGTGAGTGGGGAATCGGACTCGGAATCTGCAGATTGGGGAGGGAAGGCAAAGAGGAGGAGGAGGAGAGGAGTAGGACTTGGCACGGGGAATCCCCCCGGGGGCTGGCGAGGGACAACTCTCGAGGCGATTAAGATAAAGTGCCAATCGATATAAGGGAAAGAAAGGCAAGAACTGAACAGGCGAACTGAACTGAGCGAGCTGAGATGTCGAGATACTCGTACTTGGAGCTACATCCACGTTCACGTCCAACGTCCGCATCCGATGCTCTGTATATATTTACAGGCGCCACCAAGATAATAGTGGCGTTAACCGAATACCGATTTTCTGCCATTTTAATAATTTATAGAAGAGTATTTTAGTATTTACAGAATGAGAACCTTTATGAAATCGAAACATTATCGAGTTTCAAATAAAACCTTACCTACCTTAAAACGATTTTGACGTATTTTTTTTATTAATTGTTATATATTAATTATTTTAGTGATATTTTACGATACTTTAAATACTTTTGTGCATTTGATCAAAAATTTTAAATTTCAAAAAAACTTACAAAATTTTAAAATGGATTTGAAGACAACAGGTTTCTGATGAATTTTTTTGTTTTAATTTCTTTTCAAAATCCTTGCTCAAATAATGCCCTATAAATCTTGAAAAATTAGGATATGAGGTGTATATCTCAAGAACTTTGCAAAACCCACCACTATTAATTTAGCCGCTGCTGTAAATATATAGCCATACTCAGAGTCTGAGCCATAGTCATAGTCATAGCCATAGCCATAGCAATGGCCATAGCTTGGGCCATAGAGAACGACATAAAAGGAAATATAAAACCATTTATAAAGCGAGTCAGTCAGGGGAGATTTGAATTGGAATTGATGGTGTAGTGCACTCGACCATGCCTTGGTGTGCGTGTGTATATCCATATACACACAGATTCGCACACACACTAGGCCAAGGCATAGACGAAGCGCAGTCGCGTTGTGTGTGTGTGTCAAGGTGCGAGTATCTTCAAGACGGAAAAGTGGAAGGGTTCCTTGGGTTTGGGCTTGGGTTCCTGTTCCTTCGGTTCGTCTGAGTTTGGGTTTCTCGGGCTGCGAAACTTTGACGCTGGCAGCGCTGCTGCCAAGAAGTTTCCGGCACAAAAACTTTGCTCAAGTAGAGCGAACAGCTGCCCGAGGCATGGAAAAGGGACGGGAATCGGAATCTGAATCAGAATCAGCCAGAAAGAGCGATGGAACAGTGAGCAACCCCTAAGCTGGCCAGGAGGAAAAACCCAATTCCGTAAATCCGTGTCAACAACTTGGGAAATGGAAGGAAGCGGGGGAACCACCGGACATAACCTCGAGTTAACCCCCTTGGGATTTGGCCATCCGTATCTTAAAAATTCGCATTAAATCTTTAGCGTTGAATTCTACGATGAGAGCAACAAAGACAAGATTTTCTTTATTAGCAAATCGAAACGGATCCTGAGATAAGCCAGCTCAAGTTGTCTCATAAATTTTAAAAATTGAAAGATAATTCATCCCCCATTTTGACTTTTTCTCATAAACCTTGCCTATCTCCATTCCCATTTTTAAATCCACTTAACTCTTATCAGTTATTAGTCAAAGAATACATTTCTCGAATTTTCTAAGAAGAGTCATTGATTTTGTTGTTTCTTATCTCTGGACAAAGACCAACTTTAACAATATTTATTTCTTTTTTCATTAGCATGTTCTAAATTTAGGAACCCCATATCAACAGATACTCCCCTTTTTCGTGATTATTCTATTACTGTTTGAATACATGGTTCTTAAGAGTCTCTTATTACCATATCAAAGCTATTTAATGGCAATGCTATATAATTTAAAATAAATTGTGTTTATAATTCTTATTAAAAATTATTTTCATTTAATTACCCGGATTTAGCACTTGTTATAGTACAGTGAAAGTCAAGTCATTAACTCAAATCCGAATATAAAAAAACACAAATCATAGTTGTTTGACCCGATTTTAGTGTGAAAAAAAATGAAACGGACATGCTGTTCGCATTAAATCACTTGGATCCCGATCTCGATCTCTGGGGGGCTGTGCTAATCCAAAGACCGGCTCTGACTCAGGCAGGTGGGTTTCGATCCGTGACTCAGCTGAGCTCTACAGATGTACATACATATATCTGTCGCTCCGAAACTCTGGAGGCGTTTGAAAAGGGGTGCGGCTCAGAGTTGTTCGCTTTAGCCAGGCCCCTCTGTTGAAATTACCAGTGGTGTGTATCTAAAAGATATAAAATACAAGACCACAAGTGGGTGAGTGTTCGTGATATGGGGCCCTGGAGGTATGGCTTTGGTTCTGGTTTTTTGGGGGCTGTATCGATTTCCGAAGGCGTACGCATCTCTCCCAACTATCTGTATCTTTTCTCTAGCTGCTTTGCCCTCGTATTCCTCTTGTGCACTCAAACTCTCTGAAGTGGTCGTGCTATTGGCAGATGCTATATGGAGGCCTAGAGGTCGCGTCTATATAAAATACTCTGATATAGTTTTGTGTATCTATACATTTGGGTTGCCATCATTTCGCTGAGTCATGTACTAGAGCTCGAGCTTTTTAAGTCCCATAAGATAAACACTAGTTTGTTCATCGAATTCATTATACATTTATAATAGTTGTCCTTCTCGAAAAGCTGATTCATTGGCATATCTGAGTTCTGAGAAGCTGAGATCAAACGGGGTATTTACCCATGTTAATCATTCAATCGAAAATCAAATTATACAGGTTATTCATAAAAATCACCAAGTTAATTTTCATGTTGTTTGAAATTTAAAATTAATATAAATATCGAAGTAGTTTTACAACTAGCCAACGGCTATTTTCTTATTATTTAGATACGTAAGTGCTTTCCTTTCTTATATCGACTACTAAGTTATTTGAAAAGTAGCTCTTGTTTTACTTTTACTTAAAGCTTTCTTATGCTTTCTACATTAACGGATCAATCCCAAAACATAGTCTTTAAAATTTGAGTGGATATACACCCAATTTTACAATCAAATCTCACATGCAAACACTTGTTGCCAACGAACCGCCAAAACAAAAGGGTTAGAGGTTGCCAGACCGCATTAAATCCAATTAGGCTTGCCACACCAACTACATTCTAACGGGAATTTTCTATGCGGCCAAATCGAAACTCAAGATCTGACAGTTTCCCTCCCAAAGTTCTGTAAACTAATGTGTGAATACCTTCCCTTGCAGATTCCGGTGACGTTGTTTTAATTTTCTTTCCATTTCGTGGCCTGGCGAAGCGTGAGCAACGCCAGCACCTCAACATTTAAGATTCGGGGCCAACAGCAATTCCATCCGCAGGTCGAGATGCCGACCATCCGGCGGTGCTGCATCATTGGTTGTCTGTCCAACTCGCGCCAGCATCCCAGCATGCAGTTCTTCGCCTTTCCACGACCGGAGAATCCCTTCCACAAGCTGTGGAAGGAGGCGTGCCACGCCTCCTTGCGGAGGATTGTGCCCTTCAAGAAGCCGGTGGTGTGTGCCCTGCACTTCGATCCCAGTGTTTTGGGGGGCAGAAGGCTCCAGTCGAATGCTCTGCCCACCCTGCGATTGGAGGTGCCCTCCAACCTGGAGGCCGTGGAGCAACAAGCCATGGTGGAGGAGATCGAGAGGAGCAGGAAGTGCGCCTACATCAATGCGGTGGTCTACGAGTGGCTGGTCAGAGCAAACATAAATCCCCAGCTGCGAGGCAGCATCACCCATGGAATGATCAAGGACAAGGCGGAGAATGCGAGGCAGGTCGTCGGCAGCACCTCCTTCATCGCAGACAATCGCTGGCTGAACCGTTTCCGGGAGACGCACCTACAGGGCTTTGCCCAGAAGCTGGCCAGCAATCAGTTGAAGCCCCTAGGATCCTCCCTGTGGATCCCAGACATTGTCCAAGACCTGGCCCACCTCTTTCCGCCCGCCAGTGCTGAACGAGTCGCGAAGCTGGAGGAGATGCCCGAGCAGTACATGACCTATATGCAGCAGTACGGGGAATACGAAGAGGACGACGACAGTATGGACGTCAAGGAGCAGAGCTACCAGGAGCAACAGCAACACCAGCAGCAGCAGCAGCAGCAACAATTTGCCCTCCAGCAGCAGCACATGGCACAGCAGATGGGTCACCCCTGGCCACCATTTCCCGGACATCCTGGGCATCCTCCTCCGCCACACCCAGGATTCGCCAGCTTCAATGACTTTTACTTCGAGCGGCATCAGCAGCAAATGCAGCAGCAACTCCAGCAGCAGCAGCAACAGCAGCAGATGCAACAGCAGGCGCAATTTCCACCCACCATGCCACCGCAAAGGGAACCCTTTCAGCCCCAACTGCCGCCAAATGTTCCTCCCCAGCGAGCCAGTCCCTTCCAGCCCGTTCAGTTGGCCAAGAGGCCCAAAATGGAGTCACCCGATGACGATGAAGTGCAGGAGATCAACTCGTCGGTCACCTCGCCACCGCTAGCCCTCGCAGAGTCCACTTTGACCGGCAAGGACAGCCGGAGTCCCAGTCCCAAGGAGCAGAATAACAACAACAGCGGGGGAAGGGACAGTGCCAGCAGCAAGGAGAATGCCCCAAAGGGAGGCGGACCGAGTGGCAAGTCTACGCCCGCACTTTCCGCCAAAGGAAAGGATTCCCCAGCGCTAGCTCCGGCCAAACCAGCCTCTGCGCCCGCCTCGCCCAGGAAGATCTCCAATGGAGGAGCAGGCAGCAGTTCCTCTGGCAGCCAATCCAATGGCCACACATCCCCCGAACCCGAGGACAAGAAAGCCTTGGCCATGCTCAAAGAATTGGACAGCTATCACCAGGCCTTGGAGTACCTAAAACCTCTGGAGGACTTCGTGCTCTTCAAAGAGAACTTCCGGGCAATCGGTCTGCTCTCCCAATTGGAATTGGTGCTCCGCAAAGGGGACAAGGCCACTCTGGTCGAGGGTTGAGTAGAATAGTCGAGATGGGTAATCTCCAGGAGAAGCACAAAACACAAATGTGATGAACAGTGTACATATGTATCAAGTAGTATTATTAATTCGTACTACCACCAAACGAGTTGTTTAGGATACGAAGAATCTCTACTCGCATAAAGCTCTGAACATAATTCATTAATTTATTAATTACTATAAGAACATTAAAATGGAATTTTAATAATGATCAAAAATGTTGTTTAATGTTATTTATATTTTAAAAGTGGGTCTTACACATTACACTGAAATTGTTTTTAATTTCTGGATTACCCGCTTTTTATAGAAACGTGATCAGAAAAATGTTTGGAGTAAGTTGCATTTAAAAAATATAGAACATATTAATCTGATTTTTTATTGCCATAATAAACCCAGAAAATCCATTTATATCCTTGAAATCGACCGTTATTTATTGATTACTCTGGCAATGCTGCATTCACATCAGAGTGACCAAGCCATAAAAATACCTCAGGATTATTACCCAAACCACACCTTGGCTACACTCCTCCAATGTTTACGTTTTATAGCAAGAAAATAAATTCTGCAAATTTTTGCTGAGCACAATACCAAATAAAATAAACAACAAATCGGGCACTAAACCGCACAAATGTCGCTGCTGGAGCAATACGAACAGCAGTATGCTTCCTTAATAGCCGAAATAACGGCCCATATTGGACGACTGCAGCAGCAAAGCAACAACAGTGAGTGGGTGTTGATTTTCCAGGGACACTATGATTAGTTTTCACTTTACAATTTACCCCAGGTGAACGCCATGATTTGTGCAGCAAGATCGATGGCAGTATGGCCGAGGCCCAGGAACTGCTGGAGCAAATGGGCCTGGAGGTGAGGGAACTGAATCCCGGACAGCGGAGCAGCTTCAATGGCAAACTGCAGGTGGCCCAGGCGGAACTAAAACGCCTGCAGGCGGAATACCGGATGAGCAAGGATAAACAGAAGGCCCAGGCCAATGCGTTCACCACTCTTGACTTGGGTGACAGCTACGAGGATGTGTCCATAAGCACGGATCAACGGCAGCGCCTCCTGGACAACTCGGAGAGGATCGAAAGAACGGGCAATCGCCTGACTGAGGGATATCGAGTGGCGGTGGAAACGGAGCAACTGGGCGCCCAGGTGCTGAACGACCTTCATCACCAAAGGGAAACGCTCCAGGGAGCCAGGGCGCGTCTTCGGGAAACCAATGCCGAGTTGGGAAGGGCCTCCCGCACCCTCAACACCATGATGTTGAGAGCTTTGAGGGAAAAGGTAGTACTATATGGAGTGGGTGTCTGTTTTGTTGTGGCCGTGGGTGTCAGTCTCTATTTGACTTTTGCACCCAGCTCTACAACATCCGTCACGTCGTAGTAATTTTAGCAGAGAAACCTATTTGTAGCCCAAATTTAGAGGGTATCCATTCCAGTTTCGTGAGTTGATTATTTATTGTTTAGCATAGTTTATCTTTACGAGATATTCTGTGGAAGAAAGCTGCAGGCTTACGCACTAATCTATATACGAAAGGATGGGTTCATTACTTTCAATGCGAATCGTTTAGTATAATTTCGACCTGTTCATTAAAAGTGTAAAATTGAAGCCAAAAATAGGACACATTTAAAAGTATTTGCTTAGGTTATTAAAGTTACATAACCATAAAGTTAATTTTTCTGACCCAATAGCTTTTAAGGATATGACTAAGACCCATTTCGTTTACGTTATTCTTTTGTTAGTCAAAGTTCTTACTGCATACTTTCATTTCCTACATTTTCGTATTGACCCATCCTTATTTACGTGTACAAAGTTTAAATGGTTAATGTTTGGCGTCTGGTTAATAACTAATCCTACTCTATGACTCGTGTTCGCATTCGGGACGTATTTTTCGTATCAATTTAAAATGAACATGTATCAAAAAACAATAAACATAGCCAATAACTGTTAATAAATAAAGGAAACAGTGAAAATGCATCTCTGCATGGGTCATTGAGCCTGGCCAGGATGTGGATGCCTAGCCAAACTCAATGTTCCCCAACTGCTAGCAGCCGCAGGAGGATCCATCCTCCTCGTTGATCGTCGCACTGCTGCCCGCGGTGTCCACCTGGAAGCTCTTGTGCTCCAGAGCCTGCAGCTCCATCTTGGAGCGATTTGCTTGGACCAGTTGCCTTGAGATGTCCTGAAACATTTCCTCCACGCCGCCGCCGCTGCGACAGGAGGTCTTGTAGGTGGCACTGATCAACGAGTGACACTGCTCGCAGAAGGCCTCCACCTCCTCGTCGCTCACCTCCGGCTCCCTGCCCTCCAGATCGCTCTTGTTGCCGCAAATGAAGATCTTGGCGTTCTCCGCATACGTCACAATGTCCAGCAAATGCTGCGACAGCGAGTGAAACGATGCGGCATTGTCCAAGGCGAAGACCAGGATAGCTCCTTCGGCGAATTTGTAGTACGAGGAGGTCACCGAGGCCACGCGCTCCATGCCGCCAGTGTCCCACAGTTGGAGCTATAAATTGTAGGGGGTTTGTTAATGGGTTACCACACACTTAGTAGGTCATATATAATAGGGTACTTCTTGGGTGTATTTAAAACTGTGTTTTTTGGATAGCCAAAGGGATTTTGAATTTGATTCGTTAAAAGATTTGAAAGTGACTTAAATAGAAGATTCGGAAAGAAACTACTATATTGGGACATAGAAAGTCAAAGAACTATAGCATATATCATCGTAAGAGTTCCCGAATAGTAGAATGTTATTCTTGTTACAATGTTACCATTGCTCTATTCTCTACGGGTAACTTTTAGCCAAGATTGCAGTCCTCGTTTGCCACCCAAAACCCACCTTGATCTGCTTCTCATTGACGCTATACTCCCTATCGATGTGGTCCAGTCCCAGCGTGGATTTGCGATCCGTATCCGTGACAAAGGTGTTGGTGGCGAATCGCCGGAACAGGGAGCTCTTGCCCACTCCGTAATCGCCGCACAGGATCACCTTCTGTTTGGGTATGCGCATCGTGGCCATCGCTGTGATTCGCCTTTATTTATGCAAAATTAATTGGATTAATGATAGTTTGATAGTTTTGGACCTGCAGACACAAAGACGACGAAAAAAACAAAGCGCCAACAGCTGTTCTTGCAAAAACATTGCCCATCACAGCGTTGCCAGCCTTTTAAAAGTTATCGAGGCTTGATAATTCTCTTACTTTCATCGAATTTGAATTGTTTTATCAGTTCTGATAAAGATTTGGAATTTAAAAACAGCTGCCCGCCGTAGTTACGATCACAAATTACAAATAATAAACTTTTAGAGGGTCTAGTGAAAAATAATCGTGTGAAATTTAATTAGATATAAATGTTTTGAAAAATAATACTACAAAATGTCTGCAAAATTATACAGGATAATTCAAAAAATTTAAAATAAGCATTTAAAGAAAAATAATATTCTCAAAACAAAATAGTTTTAGTTTTGAGTCCAAAAAATATTTGTCTGTAAATATACATACAAATGTATGTGGTTAATATTTAAGACAGAAGAACTACTTGCGTTAGTTACTGTGATTTTCAGACTTTATAATACCGATCCATGATAAAATGAGGTTTCGCTAAATACTATCAGGAACCAGTTCGATTGATGTGACTATCATTTTTTAAAAACCATTATCTGATGGCTACCGCTACTGATAAAAGCCTACCCTTTAAATAAAGCCACGAGCCCCATTTTCACTCCCAGTTGAAGATGTCGATTTGGCTGGTAACATTCCTGGCGTTTTTCGCCGCCTTGGCGCATGGTAATAATCGTAAATCAAGCGCTATCTTTAAAAAAAAGCAATCGACAGGCCCTGTATTAATAGCTATCTCTTAACGATTAAACTGAAAATAATAGGAAAGCCAGGCTACGGACCTGGCGATCAGGATTGGGGCTACGTGGACGTGCGTCCCGGTGCTCATATGTTCTATTGGCTGTACTACACCACCGCCAATGTTTCGAGCTACACGGAAAGACCACTGGCCATTTGGCTGCAAGGAGGTCCTGGTGCCTCCTCCACTGGATATGGAAACTTCGAGGAACTCGGACCCGTCGATCTGTACGGTGATTGGCGCAACTGGACCTGGGTGAAAGACATGAACGTCCTGTTCATCGACAATCCCGTGGGCAGTGGCTTCAGCTACGTGGACAACACGGCTCACTACACGGCCACCAATAAGGAAATCGCCCTCGATCTGGTGGAGCTGATGAAGGGTTTTTACACGCTGCACCCGGAATTCGAGGAGGTACCGCTGCACATCTTCTGTGAGAGTTACGGCGGCAAGATGGCTCCGGAGTTTGCCCTGGAGCTTTACTACGCCAAGGAGCGGGGAGAGGTGAAGAGCAACCTCACCTCGGTGGCCTTGGGCGACCCTTGGACCTCACCCATTGACTCTGTGCTCGCCTGGGGACCTTTCCTCAAGGAACTGGGCATTGTGGATCACGAGGGATACAAAGCCATCCAGGAGGCGGCGAACTTCACGGCTCAGTTGGTGGAGGAGGAGCGATGGATCCAGGCCACCTATCAGTGGGGCAACACCCAGTGGGAGGTGATGAAGGCCTCCAAGGGCGTGGACTTCTACAATGTCCTCAAGGAAACTAAGGGCGGTCTCTACCAGAGGCAAATGTCCATGACTACCGAAGGTGATCAGCTTATTTTCGAATTAGACCTTTTTATTTAAAACCTGATATTTTGCCTAAAGAACGCCTCTACCGCACCATGGTGAAGTACGATATCGACGAGGATCGCACTAAGTTGTTGGAGGATCTGATGCGAGGTCCGGTGGCCGAAACCCTGGGAATCCCTTCGAATGTCGTCTGGGGATCGCAGAGTGGTACCACCTTCGACATCCATAGAACCGACTTCATGAAGCCCGTCATTCACATAGGCAAGGGCCAAATGATTATATTTATGAGAGATATTCTTAGCCAACTATGTCAATTTTAGTGAACGAATTGCTGGAGAAGACTCCTCTGAAGGTGGGCGTATTCTCCGGTGGCCTGGATTTGATTTGTGCCACTCCGGGTACAGTAAATTGGATAGCCAAACTGGATTGGAGCCGCAGGGACGAATACCTGGCTGCTCCAAGGAACGCCATTTCCGTGGATCGCATTTTGGAGGGATATCAAAAGTCGGGCGGTAACTTCACCATGTTCTGGATCAACCGAAGTGGGCACATGGCTCCGGCGGACAATTCGGCGGCGATGAGTCACGTCCTGCGAGAGTTTACCACTTTTGGATAAATTTGTTCTGTTCAAACTAATAAACTCGGTATACAAACATATGTATACTCACTGTTTTAATTAACCCGAATTTTTTTTTGTTTATCCCTTCAAAAAATTTGTTTAAATGTATTTTTATAATTGCTTATAAACAAAAATTGAGGATTCAATTTTTAAAATATTGAAAGCCTAAGACTGGTTACGTTATTATTACGCAATTAGGCGCCGGCCTAAAACTATTACATAACACAATTAATTTATAAGCTTTTTAAACGGAATCGTGACAGTGAAGTCAGAGTTAATAAGAAATTGAATTTCAATCCTTGAGATGTCAATTTCGTTAATCACAAAATCTGATCAAAATACTAAAATATTCCTCTGAATCCTAAAAAAATTAAAAAGCGTGTGTCACATGGGATGCACTTAGACAGAATGTCGAATGATAAATGGGAAAAGCCCTGGAAAACCCACTCAAGATAACAAAATGCAATCTGTGCGACAATTTTGGCAGACTTAGAGGCTCTATCTAAATATATGACATAGAGATTTGCCAAAAACGGACAAGTGTCAAAAGTAGTTTGAGTAAAAAAGACGCGTCATTGTCCGAGTAAGGGCCATAAATACTCTGCAAACACAACTCCCCCGTCCGAAGATTACGAATTCCAGGTGTGTCAGGTGCCTAGGGTTTCTTTACCTTCAATGCCTCGGAGCAACCAGCGATCATTCGGCGGTGGAACTGCCAAGTGTTCGGTTGGGTCTCTAGCGGTGTTTCTTGAATTTGGTGCACCATGACTGGACGGGTTATCATCGCTCTTTCGGCTCTGCTCGCAATCGCCAGCTTGGGTTCTGTTGACGGTGAGTAGCCCGTTTTATATTCCGATCAGGGGTGCTAATCAGCGAGAAAGTGTTACAAACCAAACTGTTTTTATTGCTTGTAGAGCAGGTCAGCAGAACATAAGAATTACAAAAACTATCAGTTACCTTTAGGCACTGTTCTCAATTTCGGAGATAGATTTATTCATATTTTTCTACAAACCTATCTCTTGATTTTTTAACAAATTAAAATTGATTTTTTCGTTTTAAGAGGTAGACATATAAATGGCTTCTTTGATTAGACAATACCTTCAATATCTAGAACAATTAATCTTATCTAAGTGGCTACTCATGCAGTCATTTAATATACTTAAAGGCTTGATTACACTTAAGTGTTTCAGAGAAATCAGTGCTTATCTACAAAGTACGTTTATGCAGTAGGAATTTTCAATGTATTTATAACTTAAGTTTATTAATAAATACTAAAGCTTTTCAAGTTGAAAAAAAATATTGAAAAGGTTTTTAAAATGTAGTTTAACATTCCGAATAAGTTAGAGAGATAAAAAGTGATACACAAAAATGCAAAAAAAAACTTATTTCAGGACGAAAGGGCTATGGATCCGGGGAGCAGGATTGGGGCTTTGTAGATGTCAGGACAGGTGCACATATGTTCTACTGGCTGTACTACACCACCGCCAATGTTTCCAGTTACACGGAACGCCCTCTGGCCATTTGGCTCCAAGGCGGACCGGGAGCCTCGTCCACGGGGTACGGAAACTTTGAGGAGCTGGGACCTCTGAAGCTGGATGGCAGCTACCGCGACTGGACTTGGGTGAAGGACATGAACGTGATGTTCATCGACAACCCTGTGGGCAGTGGTTTCAGCTACGTGGACGGATCCTCCTACTATACGACTACCAACAAGCAGATTGCCCTCGATCTGGTGGAGCTGATGAAGGGCTTCTACAAGAACCACCCGGAATTCAAGACCGTGCCGTTGCACATCTTCTGCGAGAGCTATGGCGGAAAGATGGCTCCGGAGTTTGCCTTGGAGCTGGAATACGCCATCCAGCGCGGAGAGATTGAGAGTAACTTTGTTTCGGTGGCGCTGGGAGATCCCTGGACCTCACCCATCGACTCCGTGCTCTCGTGGGCTCCCTTCCTGCTGCAGATGGGAATTGTGGATCAGGATGGCCACGACAAGATCGAGGCTGCGGCCTTGAAGACAAAGGACTATGTGGATCGCGAGAGGTGGACACAGGCCACTCTGCAGTGGAGCTCCACTCAGTCGGTGGTGCTGCGCGAGTCCAAGGGCGTGGATTTCTATAACGTGGAGACCCCGACACTTGGTGACCAGTACAGACTGATGGCCCGGGCAGCCATGACCCCAGAGGGTAGGATCTGTAGTTATACCTACCGAATTGGACCTAACCGCTTGCTTCCCCAGAGCTCATGTACCGCACTCTGGTGAAATTCGACGTGGATGAAGACCGGGACCAGATTCTGGAGGATCTGATGCTGGGACCCGTCACCGAGGCTCTAGGAATCGATTCCGGAGTCAAGTGGGGCGCCCAGAGCGGAACCACCTTCACCAGGTTGATGGGAGATTTCATGAAGCCCGCCGTGGATATTGGTAAGAGAAAAAGGCCTTCGATTATAAGTGGTCATGTGGTTTTCGAATTCCAACCTCAGTTCGATCTCTTCAAAAGGAATTATCGAAAAAGTTTAATTTTTTATAGTTTACTTGAGTGAGTCATTAGTTTTAAAAGTTATAGTGCGTAATTTAGCGTTTTAAATTAATCCCATTTAATGTTTGTTGAAAGGAAAACACACCAAATTATCCATCTTATTAATTTTATTAGTGAGTGAGTTGCTGAGCAACACCACCGTGAAAGTGGGTGTATTTTCCGGAGGCCTTGACCTGATCTGCGCTACTCCGGGAGCCGTCAATTGGATCGCTGATATGGAATGGACCCACAAGGATTCGTACCAGGCCGCTTCCCGCGTGGGAATCACCGTGGATCGAGTTTTGGAGGGTTACGAGAAGACTTACGGTAACTTCAGCATGTTTTGGGTGAACCGGGCTGGTCACATGGTACCCGCCGATAATCCTGCGGCCATGTCCCACATCCTCCGTCACTTCACAAAGTTTGGCTAACCAAATAGTAAATAGTGATCAAATATAAATAAAGATTATTTTCGAAATGTACTGGAACTTGTTTTTTTTTTAAAAGGAAATAAGGTTCAAAGTCTCATCAATTTAACAATTTAAACATTGTGTGAATAATAAATACCCTTAACCTAAATAAGTTTTAAATGACACAATTTGATAACTATTAGCTTTTATTTAATTTAAGTCTCTACAAAAAGAAAACAAATCTTTTTAAGAAAAAATTTTTTTACATTCGTGGATAGTTCTCCTATCTCAGTGTATATTGTGCAATCGTTAGCAATTTGTAATATGTATGTATGTATATGACTGAAGAAATTGGCGTCTCTGGAAAATATAATTGTTTGGTTTCTTCTATCTCAACTATTAATTTTTTTGATTTTATCAAATTAAGACTAGTAAATAATACTAAATTTAATCTTGGAAAAATCTCCTTGGCCAACTATATATCTGCCAGAAATAAGTAAATTAAGTTTTTTATTGTTTTTAACGTTCCATTTTGAGTTCAGAAATATTTTTAAATTCCCATTTAAAATCCGTTATATAAAAAAACGATCGTCTAGCGGCGTTGCCACATCAAAAAAGTAACAGTAAAGTTGTCGCATGCGCAGTTGCACCCTCTCAGCTGCAACACGCACACACTCACGCCGACGTTCGCTCTCTTTCTAGCTGCCCACGTTGCGCATGCTACTGAGAGAGAGAGCGAGAGAGAGGCGGCAAAAAAAACGCGAGATAAAGCGGCAGCTATTTTTGTATGGGTCGTCGTGTCGTTTAGTTCACACGGACATCGGAAAATACACAGAACGCAGCGCACGGACAGTTGGAAAATCACTATCAGCAAGTGAATTATAAAACCTAGACAACAAAAACCAAACCAATTAAGTCAAAGCAGACGGAAAGCCAAAGAAAAGCCTGAAAAACAATGACGAAATGATATGAATTCACTTGGCAGTCAACGCGCATAATCGTAGCCATCGCACACATACAGGCAAACGGGCACACACACACACAGGGAGTGAGTGTGCGAGTGAAAGGGGGTGGACGAAATTGAGTGGGCGCAGCAGCAACAACAAGACAAAAACAAACAACAATTGCCGTGTAAATTGCACGGGGAAACAAAAACAATGCGGATACGCGAAAAACGCAAGTTGCAAAGGGAGATGAGGGAGCAGCGGGAGGAGAGGGGGCAAAAGGAGCCGAAGGAGTCCTCGAAGAAGGAAGCCAACAACAGGGAGAAGGTAAGTGGCCACAGTAGAGCTCCCCTAAATGTTTTAGACCCACAAATGAAGTGACGACAAAGCTTATATAGCTTTACTTTTCAAAACCATTAAGTCTAAATGACACGATCTTGTGATTAATTTTTTTATAAATTATAAATTAAATAAGAGTGTAGGAATATGATATAAACCACATTGATAAGATTAAAAGCACTGTCCGCATTTCCGATTCCGATCACTAATTTGGATATAGAAAAAAACAGGAACATTTTATAGAAGTGACTAATCTAAAACAAATAAAAAAAAATTGTACCTAGAAATTGCTTATCTAGTTGTATACATTTAAGATAATTTAATTTTGTGATTTATAGATAAATCTTTTAATTCAGTTTTTCTTAAAGTTAGGCCAAAAGTGGATTGTGTTCAAGGCCATTTAATGGATTACTTAGCCTTATTTAATCACAATCGTACCTTCCCACAATAGCTCATATTAGAGTTCAAAGCGAGCACTGTCGTTAAATCTATTTTCCTCCTCCATGGTGGTTTTGCTTTGCACAATTTCGACTGTATTTGCCATAGCACCCGGTCCTGAAAACTCTCTTGTTCTTCGTCCTTAGACAACCGACACGGAGGTTCTCACACCAGCTACTGCGCCTGCGCCTGCACCTGCTCCGCCGCCAGCAGCACCACCCACTTCAAGCACACCACCCACTCCCAGCCTGCCGGCGGCCGAGAAGGTGGCCTTCGACAACCGCATCAAGCGCAAGAATGTGCTGGCCCTCAATGAAAAGGTGGCTGCCCTGCGGGAATACGATCGACTGCCGGTGTACAAGCATGTGGGCCGTCTATTCAGCTGCAGTCCGGATCAGATCAAGCGGATCGTCCAGCAGCGCCAGGAGATTCTGAACGCCTGGGACCAGCGAACGCGCAGAAGTCAGGATGCCAAGACCATGGAAACGAAGACCGTGAGGGTATCGATGCTGGGAAAGGCCGTGTACGACTGGATGCGGCGCATGATGTACTACAAGGACTTCAGCATCTCCGACGGACTTATTCAGAAGATGGCGCTACAGTTCAAGAGCTCCATGGGCCTGGCTCACTTCTTTCCGCACCAGGAGTGGTGTGATAAGTTCCGGCGCACCTACAGCATCCAACACACCGACACTAGACTGCTGAAGATCGGCTACACGCAGGGCTATTCGGTGCAGATCAAGGACATTGTCAAGGACGTCATGTCGGAGTGCATGCCTGAGAGCGCGCAACGAAACGAGCAGGAGGAGGAGGAAGAGGTCAGCTTGGGCAGCCCGCTGAGCAGCAATCCTCGCAGCTGCGGTGAAGACGAGGATGACGAGGTGGATGTGGATGGAGGCGATGCTAGCGGCAGAGAGGATGACCTGGAGGAGGAGCCTGATGTCAAGCCCTCGCTGAGTGAGCTGAATCTTGCCCGAGCTCTTCAGCCATTGCCGCCTTTGGTTAGACTGCCCCTGCAAACCAACACTCCGCCAGGCACTTCCCAGAAAGTGCTCCTGGCCACGCCCATTGTGCCACCGCAAGCGGGGGGTCAGCCCATGACCATGACCATTATACCACTGGCAACCCTAGCCCAAAGCATCACTCAGATTCCTTCCCCGCAGCAGCAGGATAAGGGCCCGGTGGTGCCACCGCCCAAACTGGAGATCAAGCAGGAAAAGGACATCAAAACGGAGCCCAAGGATCCAGAAGAGTTTCTCTTGGAGCAGACGAAGCTGCCACCTAAAGAAACGCAAACTTCATCCGAAAAGGAGATTGAAACCCTACCCACAGTGCACATAAAACAGGAGCCAGAAGCTGAGCTGGAAACGGAAATGGACCAGGAATCCGGCGATCCGGATGAAGATGCAAACAATGGTCGCTCCAGTGTCACCTCGCTGGCCGAGGTCTTGGCCGCTAATGTGGAGGACGAGATGGAGTACATTGAACAGATGCGCCAACGCAAGATGGGTTCACCCATTGAAAAGTCGCTGAACTCCCGGCAGGGAACCAAACGTCGCCTTGAGTCCAACCAGGACGACAACAACAATGGGGAATCCGGGCCAGGAAGCGGATCGGGTGTCATTAGCTGCTCCGATGCCCGCAAGTACCTGAAACTGCTGGAGGAGTTTGCTCTGTTCAAGGAGAACTACCGGCTGATTGGCCTGATCACAAGGGCCGATGAGGTGATGCGGGAAATGGATGACGATGTGGCGTAGGATGCTCCGAACAGGAAGCACGAGAAATAGCTTCTGCCAAAGAGGATTAGCTATGCAAACGGTCGCATCTTGAAGATGCGTTCGGTCGGATGCAATCAATCACTAGACCTAAGGTAAATTTAATTTGTACTCGAACCAAATAAACGCAAATAATCCAATGTCAAAGGGGTCAGCAGCTTTAATCTTGACCCTAATTTAAATATGGAATGAAACTGCATTAACTAAATAATATGACTGTGTACACATTAAATGAACGACAGGGGAAGAATTATAGGTAGTATTTATTGCTTTATTTTAAAACTCTTTACATAATCCTTGTGCGTTGACAAAATGTTGACCATATGATCGTTGTTCACCAGGCAAACACGGCCTGTTGACGATTCCATGGTTCTGAAACTTAATAATCTTGCGTTAGTTTTGGAAATATACATAGATAAAGTAAACTTATTTAATGTTGTATGTGGATTTATAGTATATTTTAAAATCCTCCGAGTAGATAATATTTTACTTTACTCCTTTTGTTACAAAAGCGGTATAACCGTTCATCCTTATATTATTTTTAAGGACTTGGCTTGATCTTTCAGGGCGCGAGTTTACATGAATTTCAGCACTAACAACTTAGGATGTTAAGATTACAAAGAAGTAAATAAGGTATATATATATATGTATATACATATTTGAATATGCTGGGATAAATTAAATATTACATTAATAGTAACCCAATGAATAATATTAACCTCTATTTTTGCATCCTGAAGTATGGTGCGTTTTCTTGGAGCTATTATTTTGACCTCTGGTTTGACTATTAAATTTTATTTAAACCCTATTATAATTACCTATGTTGTGTGTTTTCACAGCTATTCATGGCCGGCATAAAAAGTCGGCTAAATATATACATATGCGCATGTCTGCCCTTAGTTCAGCTTCTTCTTACTTTACCGGGCGGGAGGTCACCTCTCCCACCACCCCCACACACAAACACAAGAGAGGGAGAGTGAGTGTGGGAGAGAGAGATGAGCATCGCCCACAAAAATAACTGAACAAAGAGGTCAATCATTAGATTCAATCTTTAGCTTATCGAGTATTTTTGAACTTTTTCCCGATCTGAGAATAATACATGTGTATGAACAGGGAATAAATACTTTGAATTTAGCTAATGTGCAAATGTCGACAATCTTGATTGGGAAAAAATGGGTAAATGCGCATGTCTGCCATTAGTATAGTTCTGAATTATTGTTGTTTTTCCTCGCTCCCTCTCTCGTACACACGTGCATTACAATTCCGGGGAGTTGGTTCGCTTTGTTTATAAATACGCCAATGGAAAATGTTAAATATTTAATAAAATGTTATAAATTAATTTCAAAGTATATGTTTTTCATATACTTTCAGATACCTTTAGTTTTACTGATATGGCAAGAAAATCAAATGATTTATTGCGCATTTGCACACGCACACATCGACACCCGTCAGTCGACTAATCAATCACTCAATCGAGACACATACACACACACACCCGCTCATTTGGTTCTCCATCAATTCAGTTCGTGATTGGCGCTTGAGGAGAACATAACGTTTTATACCGCAGGTCGGCCAAAAGCAACAACAATAACAGGAGGGAGTAAGTGAGGCGTTATCCAACACTCCAGCATCGATTGGGCAACTCTGGCTGACTTGTAAACAGAAACAGCTGATTGGCCTAAAAACAAAAAAAGGTAAATATTTATGTTTATTCTCCTTACACTTTTTTAAATTTAATTTTAATGCTTTTTAATCAAATTTTGGCGTGTTTTAAATTAAATATATCTATATCTACATATTTTTTAAATAAAGTATTCTTTTTGTTCTGCAAAGCCAAAATATCTATGTATATTTCCTAAATTTTTCCCAATATGATGCTTGATTTCAAATGCCTTATTTTTATGTAAAAATCCAGCAGGTTTGATTGTTTAGTTTATTTATTAAAAAATTTGTTTTTTTTTTTTTCTTTGTAGATGACTGCTGCTCTGCCGGATCGTTTTAGTGCCGGGAAACGACAATTCTGGCGTGAATTCCTCGCCCTCTATCAAGGAATGCCGGAGTTGTGGGACGTCCGGAGTTTTAATTACCGGAACAAGGAGCTACGGAATCGGGCCTACGAGTTGCTGGAGCGGAAACTCCGGGAGATCCAGCCGAATGCCACACGCACTGAAGTGGGAAGGCGTATCAACATATTTCGCACTAACTACAGGCGGGAGCAAATGCGAATCCTCAAGCAAAAGGAGCTGGGACTGCACTCGGACCTTTGTAAGCCCACTCTCTGGTTCTACGACTACATGGGCTTCCTCCTGACCCAGGAGACCTTTCAGCACAGGACTAGAAAAGGTCGAGGGGGCAAGCAGAAGGCGGTCTTTCGTCTGGAAAATAACGTAAGTTGAGGATTTTATTTGAAAAATATACAAACTTTTAATAATTATCCCCTGTGATAAATAGAACTTGCAGAACACAGATCTCAAAAGCGACAGCGTTGTTGATTGGCCGACGACGGATGATAACGCTATGATCTACCCAACCGACCCAGTTGCCCCTCAATCCGAAGAAGGTTCCCATTCCCTGCTCAGCCCAAAAGTGGAGTTAATTGAGCCGGAGGAGGAGAGCCTAACAAATGGAATGGAACATTCTGATCACAATGAGGAAGAAAAGGCGGTAGATACGTCGGATACCAAAAAACCCGCCTGCTCATCGCAACTAGAGCCGGAAATCGAGCAAGGATCTCGACATACCATTCTTAGCGAGTCCTCCGAAGTGTTGGCCAGATCCTGGGCTATTCAGTACGAGGAGATGGCCCCCACGCAACGCATCCTGGCCCGAAAGGCCATCGCAGACATCCTGTTCGAGGGCTGTATGGGAAACCTACGAGTAAACCGCGGAGATCAGCGAAGCACCGTGGGCAATCATCTGTAATCATTAATAATAAGGTAATTGCCACACTTTTTACATTTTAATTAATTCTTCCAGCGATGTGCATTTTATTTAAATTTATAAATTAGGGTTTTTGAGCACATAAGTTTGTCGGATAGTAGTTTACAAAAAATTGCGTACCCCTGAGACTTTTCAATGCTCCTTTTATGCTTTTCTTTTTACACCAAAGTTATGAGAATTAAATAAACCAATATAAATTAAATTAGGAATAAAAGGTTATTGCAACCAAGTACTTTATCCCAGATAAAAATATATGTTATAGTTTTTAAAACGGCATAAAAAGTATTCCAGCATTTCAAATTTTCATTTAAATTTTCCGCCGTTTACCAACAGTGCTGGAAAACGGGTAGCAGCCATATGGTCACATATGAAGCCATTCAAGTTAGAGAATTTCTTTTATCATAACACGAGCACGCACGTCGTTAAAATTTAGTGTCCTTCGAAATGTCTTAACAGTTTGACCACAAACAACCCCTAAACCTTTTTTAATTTCCTCACCCTCTTTTTTATATTGTATTTTTGCATGCCTTTTGCTGAGTACTTCAGGTACTTAAGTACTTTCGTGAACTGACCCGATAAAAAACAGTCACGAACCCATCGCTATCTTAAAATTGTTTTGGTTTTTTACTAGGAAGGATAAAAGGAGCTAGTTTTTTGGTTCTACCTGGTTTTGACAAGGTGCTGCGCATGCGCATGACTTTAGAACTCAGTCCCGCAATAGTTTCGAACAATTACACATCTTTACCAGAAGAGCTGATTAAGTTTCCTGTAAGTGTATTTTATGTTTGTTGCAGAGGTCTCAATCTTTTAATATTATTACAGGTAGCTATCGTTCTTGCCTGATATAAAGATATTTGAATCATTCTATGGACATTTCAAGGTCTCGTGATATATCTGAGATTAACTATGTGTTTCCACACCAGTTGATTTATTTAGTCTATGCAAAACTGCAATGCAAGTACAAATGGTTGACGTTATCATAATATGTTATTAACTCTTATAAATAGAATATTTAAATATTGGCGATGCAGTGACCTTCACACGTGATTAAATTACATATTTACCGGTTTTCCAATCTCTTAAGAACGATCAATGATGCAAAAGTGCAGCGAACTGGGAAAGAATTCCATGTAAGTGCTAATGACTTTATAATTACTGGCTTATCCTGAAGTCCTCGTAATCCATCCAAATCGTAGGGCTTGGCAGCACTTGGTTCGCCTTGGTCAGAGCAACCTGAAGGTGAAGAAGGGCCCAAACGGTCACTATTTGGACAAAAGGTGCCGGGATGAGCTGGAAAAGTCGCTACCTGCGAAGTCTTTCAAAGAACTTATGGTCTGGGTGGCAAAGTGGATGAAGCGTCTGGACGAGAAGAACGGTATGGTGCATTCGAGGAAGGATTCTGCTGCGAAACCAGAAGAGATTAAGGCGAACACAACGAACCCAGCTGTTGTGGACCTCTGCAGCGATGGAGAAGATGGGGAATCCATTGACACCTTTCTGGATGGGGATCTCTTGGACTCCGATTCAGTAATCTCCAATTCCTCCCTTGTAGTCCTCGACGATGAGTTGGGCGAGGTAAACTTAAAGGACTACGCGGATCACGTGGATGGAAAACTGGATGCTGCCTCTATAAAGAAGTGGAACAACGAAGAGATGAAAACCACTTTTAGTGCCAAGAAACAGACTACGATGAAGAAATACTTGACGCCCACCAAGACGCAGCCCGACACAAGTCCGCCTAATGTCCTCCGACGTTCTTTGAAAACGTATGGCAGAAAAATGAAAGCCAGTCCGATTGGAGGGGCAAACAATGTGGCAACTGACACCGAGAAACGAAGCTCCCTGATACTTAGAGAGCTGAACATCGAAGGAGGAACAAACTTTAAGACCTCTGCTAAGGAAGAAACTCAACCCGACCTGATTATAATTGATGATGTGAGTCAAGAAAACTCCGTCAAAAAGGAAGAAAATAATGAACTTCTAATAAGAGAGAAAACCAAACCAAAGACCAATGATGCAAAACCAAAATCTCCAATAGTAAATGAGGAACTTCAATCGAATGCCTTGGCTAACAACGAAACTTCCACCTGTGATTCATTAAACTATAATGAAACTAAGTCAAAATCAACCGCTAATATCCCACTTAATGAGGCTATAAAGACAGATGCAGAAAAGCCATTAAAAACAAATGGAGAAGCCAAAGAAAATAGTGAACCAAGAAAACCTAACAGCTCAGAATTTCAAGTATTTGAAAAAGTTGAACCAAGTCCACCCAAAAGTGAAGACCCAAAACTTATTTTAACGATAAACGACTCTCTAAAAATAGTAGACATAAAATCCATGCCGATAGGGAAGGAAGTGCTATTGGCTGACTCGCTGTCAAGCAAAGATACATCTCCCAAAAATATAGAACGGAGACCTCTCGTTTCTGCCCCAATGGATTTTATACGGGTTCGCACCGATCTGATAGCCCCAGTTGAACCTCTCAATCAAGGTCAGGTTGAGCAGATAGCACCAGCTCAACCTTCCAATCCTGCAGGAGCCGCTGAAAAGCGAAGGTTGCAGCCGGAGCCGGAAGCATATCGATGCGAATCGGCCACGCAGAATATACATGGACAGCCAAAAAGACCAGCCAAGGATAACTATATCCCTGCTTCAGTTACCACCTCCAGATATCCACCCAATATCCCTGTGACCGCGGTAGCAGTTAATGCCTCCATTTATCCCCACAATGGGGGCTTTGCACCAGTTATCCCAGTGGCCGCCCCACCAGTGGTTCCTGGCGCAGCTGGTGTACATCTTACCAACACCATTTATTCATCAATTATGCCTATGGCTCCCGGATCAGTTAACTCGCTTATGTACCGAGGACCCAGATATCTACCAGGAATAGCTACCACCTCCAGCTATCAAGGAATTAACCCAAGCTATCCACCAGTAATGTCTGCGACTCCAGCATCAAGATATCCACCACCTATAATCGTTGCTCCTGTCCCAGTTGACACCTCCACTAATCAACCAATTAGGCCGGTGCCCCCAGCACCAGTTGTGGTTTCCTCCACTTATCAACCAATTAATCCTGTGGCTCCTGCACCGGCGACATCCTCCAGCTTTCAACCAAATATTGCCGTGGCTCCTGCTGCTCCAGACAAGTACAGTAGTCAACTAAGCGGACGCGATCCACGCTCCGATCTGGCCAACATCATGGGCATGCTGGCCCAGGTGGAGTTGTTTGCCTATGGTCAAAAGAATCAGGAAGCTTTCCATCTCGTCAATCAGCTACGCATTAGTCTTCAGAGGGGATCCGCAAATAATGGCCAAGCTCCTCAGTGAAATGCATAGTTTAAACTATTAACTATTGGAGATTAGTATTAAATTAATTAAATAACTAATTCTTTGCTATGTTAGTTTTTCAAAACTGTTAAATATGCCTATTAACTTTGATACGCAATATCAAAACAAAAATTAAATTTAAATTATTCTGTTTATTTATGGCAGAATGTGATTATATGAAATTTATATATGCCATCTAGCATATTATTAAATGCAATTCGATCTATTTCGTTATAATAAATTCTTAAGCATTGAAACCAACCTTTTAATTTACAAGCGGATTTTTTTTTTTAAAGCTTTAAGATGTTTTTATATACTGAAATGAATTTTTAAATTATTGGCTAATCCTGCAAAGCTGTAACTGATCTGGTCTTTGGAAAAGAGTTTCGAAATGATTCACCCAGCTGTTCCTGCATCTGTGGGGTTTTAGGATCTGCAGATAAGCTTAAATCTGTTGATGGCAGCAGCGTCCCTTAATATTAGAAAAAAAGTGAGAAAACAAGGGAACCGAGTCATACTTACTTGGTATTGCTGTTTAATTTTTTTTAATTAAGCCGAACTTATATTTGTACATTAAGTTTTACTGAGAACTACGATCTTGACCGCTCCTGTAAGCCTGTTATTTATCTAGGCAACTGCAACGAAAAATTCAAATCACTGGGAGAGACCGATTAGGGCTGCTTCTGATGGGTCCGAGCTGTTGTAGCACTTTGCACCTGTCGTCCGCCCAACGCAAGTGAAAAACCGACCTCAGCATTAATTGATACAACAACTGCGATGGGCTGGGGTGCTGGAAACCCAGTTCGATGAGATGCTGGCATGATAGGAAGTTGGGAGGCAGTTGCAGTTGCACGTGTTGCCCGCCAACTAGTCGCGGCAAAATTGCTGTAAGAAATGCAAGGCAGCTGTCGCTTGAAAGTCGTGGAGTTTTTTGAAGTCTTCGAGGTTCAGGGCCCCACAATCGGGAGAGTCTAGGTGGAAAATCGGGCTTCGAGGGGCCGATTCTTAAATGGGCATTGAAATTAAATGCAGCTTTAATGCTGCAGCTTGCTTTGGAATCAGACTTAGAGATGCCAAATTGGCCTCTTTTCAGATGTATCTAATCTATTAAAACAAATCTCTATTGTGTCAAAACATTTTTTTATTAATATGTAAATTAAATTTTTTTCTTAGAAGTCTTAAGTCCGTTTTCTCGTCTTAATGATGAGCTAAAAAAGTTAAAGGAAATATTGTTTTTTCAGTTAGGTAATATAAAAGTATCTAGTAATTAATGTTAAACTTTTGATTATCAGTCCGCCTTTTTTTATTGTAGATAAGCAAGAAATGTGTTTTCGAGTTGAAGATGAACAATTTTGTTAAAATTAAAATATAGTATTGAAATGAACATAATTGTATTAAAAATATATATGTTTAGTTTCGTGTATTAATGACTTCTTTATGTTTTCGTTACAGGTTTGCATCACTGAAGCGATTGAAGGGCGCGTATCGGATGGCCTGGACAAATCTGTGAATATGCCACAATCGCTGCCCCAGTGGGCGTGTAGTGGGCGTGGCAGTGCACTCAGGGAGTGAAATACCCGCGGTGGTCGCCGGTTTCGTCGACTTGATGGGCGCCAGCATTCTGCAACAGCCGCAATCTGCAACAGAAACAGCAACAATCTGCGACACGGCGCCTTTTGCCTTTTTGGGAAATTTAATGGGAGTTGCCGATGCCTTTTTTGGTGCAACGAAATCAAGTAACAAAAATCTTTTTATCGCTCGCTTATTTCCTATTTTCCCCTTTGATGACGATAATATCGTTTTTTTGTTTGCAAGTTTGTTGTTTGATTCGTCAGCAGCTGTAACTTGCAACCACTGCAATGGCATAAAAACAAATGCTTTTGAGATGCTTAGATGGACAAAAGGAACAACATTTAGGCTTTAACTGCGGCCGAAATGATCGCAACTTGGTTAAGAGTCCAGCCCTTTTAAAGCGAATCAATCATGAGTTACACGATATGTTTTGATTTAGTCTGGATTAACGTAATCGATAAACATAGATAATGCTTAAATCTTGGAAGAGGTGAGTATAGACATTTCTTCAAAAAAGTCCCAAATCATCTCAAAGCAGTTCAAATTATATATTTTTTTTGATAGCCCAAAAAGTTAAAACAAAATTTGGTGCTTTAAAAAGAAATGTGGGGGTTGTGAGATTTTAACTTATATCCCGTTTAATTTGTTATCAAATTTCCAACCAATTGTCGTACATAGCTTAAAATTTTGGTCTTTGGTCATGAAGAAAATTCGACGATTCGCCCATATATCACGTTTTGACTGTTTGGGGATGATATAACTTTAAGAATACTTAAATAAAAGATGATCGTTTTTACCCTTATTGAAACTTGTGCATATTTATTTTTTATTAAACAAATTTTATTTTAACTATACAATTTCAGAATCGAAATAAATTAAACTAAATTAAATACAATTAAATAAAGGAAAGCGGATGTGAGAAAAGGATCATCACTGCAGATGAAGTTCCCGTGGATTACTGCAACATATACCGTACCGGACTCCTTAAAGGCTCTCCAGGATTTACCAGTCGTCGACTCCTTGGTTTTCACCTAAACAACAACGCCTTAAACTAGTCGTTATTTCAAGTTATTAAAAAAGCTTTATTAAATAAATTTCAAACAATTAACCTAAGACCCCTATGATAAGATAAATGTTTATGTTGTCATGTTTATACATAGTTAGCAGAATATTGTCTTAAGTATTTATTATATACATATAATTAGCTTAAGAATATCCTAAAAACATCTACATTACATAAAAAAGTTTTTAAATAAAAAATGAATTTTCCGATATGTGTTTGTATGGGTGGTTGATGTGGACGCATTCCATATGCGGGGGTTTATTCGTTTAATGCGGATTGCATGTGGAATCAGAAAACTAAGCAAAATACACGTACGATCCACATGCGATCCACACCTTGTGGATCCTATCTTAAAAATATGCGTACGATCCACATGGGATCCACATAAGTTCCACATGGAATACACACAAATTAGTTTTATTTTGTGATGTGGATCGTATGTGGATCCCATGTGGATCGTACGCATATTTTTAAGATAGGATCCACATACGATCCATGAAAATTATTTTTCTGTTGTGATGTGGATCGTATGTGGAACCCATGTGGAACCCATGTGGATCGTACGTGTATTTTTAAGATACGATCCACATGTGATCCACAAATCGCAAAAAACCTTGCATGCGAGTGGAGCACATGTGGAATGCGTCGACATCAACCACCCATAAAGTAAATTAAAACAACGGCAACCAAATATCAGAAAATTCATTTATTTTTTATTTAAAAACTTTTACTTATGATAATCTAAGTCAATAGTCTTAATAAGTCAATTCGCACGAGAATAATAATAAACGATACCTTCTTATTCAGTGAAAAGTTATGGACTTAAAAGTGAAGGTGTAAGGCCCCTTTTCTGCAAAGCCATTTTCCTAAAATTTGAACCAAGCTGAGGTATGACACTTTGAAATCGGATGTCTGTAAGAAAAGTTATGGGCTTAGAAGTGCAGGTTTTGGACCACTTTTCTGCAAAGCCGTTTTTCGAAAATTTGGAAAGGGGTAACATCATTAAAATGACGGAAAATCGACCCCAAAATACAAAAAAAAACTGGAAACGCAGATCTTTAGAGAATTAAACCACAGTCATTTAGAAGTATGCCACTTTGAAATTAGATGTCTGTAAGAAAAGTTATGGGCTTAGAAGTGCAGGTTTTGGACCACTTTTCTGCAAAGCCGTTTTTCGAAAATTAAAATGACGGAAAATCGACCCCAAAATACAAAAAAAACTGGAAACGCAGATCTTTAGAGAATTAAACCACAATCATTTTGAGGTATGCCACTTTGAACTCAGATGTCTGTAAGAAAAGTTATGGGCTTAGAAGTGCAGGTTTTAGACCACTTTTCTGCAAAGCCGTTTTTCGAAAATTTGGAAAGGGGTAACATCATTAAAATGACGGAAAATCGACCCCAAAATACAAAAAAAAACTGGAAACGCAGATCTTTAGAGAATTAAACCACAGTCATTTAGAAGTATGCCACTTTGAAATTAGATGTCTGTAAGAAAAGTTATGGGCTTAGAAGTGCAGGTTTTAGACCACTTTTCTGCCAAGCCGTTTTTCGAAAATTTGGAAAGGGGTAACATCATTAAAATGACGGAAAATCGACCCCAAAATACAAAAAAAACTGGAAACGCAGATCTTTAGAGAATTAAACCACAATCATTTTGAGGTATGCCACTTTGAAATCAGATGTCTGTAAGAAAAGTTATGGGCTTAGAAGTGCAGGTTTTGGACCACTTTTCTGCAAAGCCGTTTTTCGAAAATTTGGAAAGGGTAACATCATTAAAATGACGGAAAATCGACCCCAAAATACAAAAAAAAAACTGGAAACGCAGATCTTTAGAGAATTTAACCACAATCATTTTGAAGTATGCCACTTTGAAATCGGATGTCTCTAAGAAAAGTTATGGGCTTAGAAGTGCAGGTTATGGACCACTTTTCTGCAAAGCCGTTTTTCGAAAATTTGGAAAGGGGTAACATCATTAAAATGACGGAAAATCAACCCCAAAATACAAAAAAAACTGGAAACGCAGATCTTTAGAGAATTAAACCACAATCATTTTGAGGTATGCCACTTTGAACTCAGATGTCTGTAAGAAAAGTTATGGGCTTAGAAGTGCAGGTTTTAGACCACTTTTCTGCAAAGCCGTTTTTCGAAAATTTGGAAAGGGGTAACATCATTAAAATGACGGAAAATCGACCCCAAAATTCAAAACAAACTGAAAACACAGATTTTTAGAGAATTTAACCACAATCATTTTGAGGTATGCCACTTTGAAATCAGATGTCTGTACGAAAAGTTATGGGCTTAGAAGTGCAGGTTTTAGACCACTTTTCTGCAAAGCCGTTTTTCGAAAATTTGGAAAGGGGTAACATCATTAAAATGACGGAAAATCGACCCCAAAATTCAAAACAAACTGAAAACACAGATTTTTAGAGAATTTAACCACAATCATTTTGAGGTATGCCACTTTGAAATCAGATGTCTGTAAGAAAAGTTATGGGCTTAGAAGTGCAGGTTTTGGACCACTTTTCTGCAAAGCCGTTTTTCGAAAATTTGGAAAGGGGTAACATCATTAAAATGACGGAAAATCGACCCCAAAATACAAAAAAAAACTGGAAACGCAGA